CAGCTACTGTAGAAGAGAATACGCCAGCGGGTGTCAGCATCTTGACAGTAAAAGCGATAGATGGTGATGTTGGCATACCGCGTGATATATTCTTATCACTAGAAGATGAAGAATTCGGTCACTTCGAATTGGTACCATTTGGTGATCCGAAAGAGGGGATGGCTGTATTGAAAACTACTGATAAGCCTTTGGATCGTGAAAATCCTGAAATTTTACAAAATGGTGGAGTTTATGTATTTACTTTACGTGCAACAGAATTGATTAACGGTGAAATACCAGCTGATTATGCTACTACCCGTATAACAATTGTAGTTACTGATATTGACGATCATATACCTGAATTCAATGCTGATTTTTTCAATATATCCATAACTGAGAACTTGGGAAATGGAATGCCTTTACCAGGGCTGTCAGTTTTTGTAGACGATCGCGATATGGGTGAAAATAGTCGTTATCAATTGTCAATGCGTGATATTGAAAATTCAGCAAATGTTTTTGCCGTAAGTCCGGAGGAAGCACAAGGACGAACTCCTGTAGTTGTAAGAGTTTTAGACTCAAGTAAACTAGATTACGATGTTGAGGATGCAAGTAAGCGTTACTTTGAGTTTGAAATCATAGCCAGTGTACATGGGTTGGAAAAAGCTTCAACGCGGGTGCAAGTGCATTTATTAGATGCTAACGACAACTCACCCATTTTTGAGAAACATGATTATCGTTTTTCAGCTGCTGAAAATTTGTCTGTGAATTCAAAAATTGGTACAATTAAAGCAACTGATAAGGATTCCAATGAATTTGGAAAAATTACTTATCTCGTGAAAGGTTTTGGTTCGGAAAATTTTCATATCGACAGTGACACGGGTGATGTTTACATACAAAAACCTTTGGACTATGAAAAGCAAAATAGTTACAGTTTGACTGTAGTTGCTATGGACGGAGGAGGGCGTGAAACAAATGCAAACGTTTACGTTGAAGTAACCGATGTTAACGATAATTACCCACAATTTGAGAGCACCGATTATACACGAACTATACGTGAAGGTACTTCCAATTTTGAACCACAATTCTTTGTACGTGCCACAGATGCTGACGGTCCAACTCAAGGTGGTGGAAAAATTATATATGGTATAGTGTCAGAGAATAGTATATCTGGTAATGTTTGTCGTATTGATGAAGAAACAGGTGAAATAACGCTACAAAAAGTAGCTAAATCAATGGATACTGAACGGGGAGAATATGAGCTTATGGTAACTGCAACTGATTTCGGTAAGATATAATATTTTTTGAATTTGATATCACGTTTTTGATTTTTGATTATATTCAGGTACTCCTCCATTGACCAGTACTACTCAAGTTCTTATTCGTGTTGGAATTTCTGGAAACCAGCGTCCTATATTCAAAGGCCACTTTCAGAATATTGAAAACGTGCCAGTTATTGGTCCACCTAGTTATAGAGTTTCTATACCTGAAAATGCTCCACCAGGTTATAATGTTACAATTGTATCAGCACATGACCCTGATGGACTCGATAGTCTACTTCGTTATAGAATTGTTGATGCTAAAGACAATTTTGAAATTGATGAAATGTAAGTTTTGCTTTGGTATTTTGAAGTTCATTTTAGACTATATATCGACAGATTTTTACATTTTACTGTAAAATAATTCCTTCTTTTCACTCTTAATCTTTCAATACCTGTGATTTTCAAAGATTTCAAATTTTTTTATATTTTATTTTCAGCACTGGTGTTATAACAGTTTCCCCACAAGCTCGAATCGATCGTGATGCTAATATGGATAGTTTTGAAATTACTGTCAATGCCGTGGATTCAGGGACACCTATACCAGAAACAGCAACTACTACAGTATATGTTAACATTAAGGACATTAATGATGAAAAACCAAAATTCGAGCATGCAAGCTATGCTGGTTATGTGTCTGAACGTACAGAAATTGGTGAAAGCATATTGACTGTCAAGGCCATAGATAAGGATCTTAACTCTAAGTTAAGATATAGCATAAAAAGTAGTATTAAAGCAACAACAAAGGCTGGTGTAAACATTGCAAACCGTACTAACTATAGAGTAGACGAAGCCTTCCGTATCGATAGTAACACCGGTGAAATTTTTGTAAATAGTTCTTTAAGACATGATGTGGCCGCTGTTATAATGTTTATAGTGGAAGGGCGAGACTTAAATGCCGAAGTTGATCCCGATAATCAATTTGATACTACAGAAGTCACCATATATGTGCAATCATTTAAAGATACCAATCCCGTATTTAAAAATAAATATTGGTCAAGCAACAAACCTTTAATAAATGTCAAAATAAAAGAAGAAATGCCAATCGATAGTACACTTTACATAATACAAGCTGAAGATCCAGTAACCGGCTATCCCATCTCTAGTTTCCAATTGATAGAACCAACTGAATTGAAATATTTCCATATACATGATCGTACTGGTGAAATCATATTAAAAGAACGTTTGGACTACGAAATGTTAAAACAGGGTAAAACTAACTTCGAATTTCAAGTAAAAGCCAACTCACCCGATGGCCAGCGTAGCACATTAACTAATGTAAATATAACCGTCGAAAATGTAAATGACAACAGTCCAGTATTTAAAGAAACTATGTATCAAGCTACCATAGTCGAGAATACTAAACATCCCGCTAAGGTTATAAAGGTAACAGCCACAGATAAGGATGCTGAATTAACACCGCGTGACACACTTCTGGGTTATCATAAAATAGTATATACGCTACAAGGAGAAAATGCAGCACTGTTTGAAATAAATAATTCAACTGGTGACATTATCGTCGCAGCAAATCAAACGATTGATCGCGAACGAACACCGCGTATTTATCTACAAGTAAAAGCAGAGGATTCACCTGGTAAACCGACAGATGCCAAGCAAAGTATAGTGAATCTCACTATTAACGTATTGGATGTGAATGACAATGCTCCTGAGTTTAATCAAAAGAACTACACTGGTGTTATAGCGGAAAATGTTCCTATCGGGTCGTTAGTGCTAAAGGTGTATGCAATAGATTTAGATGATGGTCCGGGAGGTGAAGTACGCTATGAACTCACCAATGAAGGTGAAGTAAATGGTTTATTCAATATCGATGCAGTTACTGGGGAAATAAAAACAAAGGGTGAATTAACTGGCAAGGGACGTTCTGAACCATATTTCTTAATTGTTAAAGCTCAAGATAATGGAAATCAAGTTCCAAAACAACAATCTCTTTCGAGGGACACTGATGTTATATTATTTATTGGTGACGTAAGTGCAAACGATGGCATACCATACTTTATTACTCCAAGAGTTGGACAAACAGCAAATGTTACAGAGGTAATTATATGAATATTTGTCTATATAGAATTTTGTTAATAATTCATTTAAAAAAAAATTTTTTAGAACTCTCCAACTGGCTCACCAGTATTTCAAGTTAAAGCAAGTGATCCAGATAATTCAAACACTCCATCTGGTATATTGTCTTACAAAATACTTAATGATACACCTGATGCGAGTACTTTTGATATTGATGAAACAACAGGTTTGATAACAACTCTGATGCCATTAGATCGCGAAACTAAAGATACATACAATATAATACTAGAAGTTAGTGATAATGGAGTACCGAGACAGTCCGTAACAAGCATCTTACAAATATTAGTTCTGGATATGGATGACCACAGTCCGCGATTTGTTAGAGAAATAGTAGGTTTATTTTAAAATATATAATTTATTCCTAACAATCAAATTTTGTTTATGCTTTTTCTAAGGATGAAGGACCTTTAACATTCTCTGTAGTTGAAGAACAACCTGAAGGTACTATCATTGGTAATTTTAGTGCAATAGATGAAGATATTGGTGAAAATGCTGCTATAGACTATGTAATTATTGAAGGCAATAACGAAAACATATTTAGCATTGAACGTAACAATGAAAGCATGGCTATCTTAAAAACTAACAAACCTATAGATAGAGAGTCTATTGACTCTTATACAATAAGCATTAAATGTTTGAAATATGGTGAACCAAGTTACACATTTATAGGTGATCCCTATAATCGTTTTGATCCTACACATATAAGAGTTGTCATTAAAGTAATTGATATAGATGACAATTTACCAGAATTTGAGCAAAGAGATGCTTCAATAGGAATACGTATTAATGTGCCTATAGATACCGTTATAACAACTGTAAGAGCGACTGATCGTGATGCTGAGGCAGCACCTATTGTACTGACTGTTGAGAATGTAACTTTTGTGCCACAATTTTATAAACGTACAAAGCAAATAGAAACAGAATCACTACAAAAACTGTTTACACTCAACAATCAAACTGGAGAGTTACGCACAGGTGGTTCATTTTCGAACTACGTTGATGGTTACTTCCAAATGAAAATACGTGCCAATAACTCCATGAAGGCTAAACGACATACATTTAATAATTTAAAAATATTCGTAATACGTGATAAATCCTTGTTGAAGTTCGTATTCGCACGTCCGCCAAGTGAAATTCAGAGTATCATTAGACCTTTCCAGGAGCAATTAAAGAAAAAGCTAGCGCCAATCGGATATGAATTGCACATACTCGATACGCAAGTTCTTACACGTTCAGATTTAAGTTTTGATTTCACATCTACTAGTTCCTGTTTCCAAATGTTTAAAAATGGTGCAGCTATGACAATGCAAGAAATGCAGAAACTAATGAATTCGGATATGATGAAGCAGGAACTATTCGACACATATGTAGCATATGGAGTAAGCGAAGTGGAGTCGTGTTCAGTACGTAGAACACAGGTAGCAGCTAATATGATGGCTTCAGCTGGCACTTGGCTAGTTATATTAGCTGCTGTTATTGGTTTAGCAACCATTATCACAGCGTGTACTGCGTGTTGTCTGAAGAAAAAGTAAGTCAAGCGATATAGTTTTCAAAGAATATGTTTTTCGAAAAAATTATAATCTTAAATCTTTAACACAGATACAAAGCAGAGGCAAAACGTAGCTTACAGGCCTCTCGCGCATCTACCGAACCATATGGTATGGGAGTACCTGCAGTTTTCTATTCCGAACCTATTTATGGTCCATTGTAGCAGTCAATAATCTCTGGTAGAGAAGCAGTTAAATATTAGTTCTAAGTAAATAAGACTGCGCATATTATTTAATTTTTATTTTAAGTTTTGTTGTAAAAAGAAAAGATTAAATATTGGATAATATGCCTGTGATGTAATTCAGTTAGTAAATAAGTTTATGTGATGCTCAAGAGTAAATCGAATGACAACGAATAGCAGATAAAGTATGTAAATGGTCCTAAAAGTTAATGTAAAAAGTCCGAATAATTAGTGCCTAATTCTATATGTTTTGTAAAGTATATAATATATATATAAAATATTAAGAAATTAAAAATAAATTTGTAAATTAAAAATAGTCGTTTCAGTGAAGCGTTAATACTAGTCAGTTTTCCATGCATTTTTGCGCATTAGAGCTTAGGTGTCAATGCATTTCTTTCGGAAAATATGTTTGGATTTTATCTTATCTGATATTTTTCTATAATATGCAAAACAAGTGCATAATAAACATTAACTGAATTTAAATAAAAATATTTTTTAAGAATTTTTCAAATATTTATATATGAATTCGTGCAGAGTGTGGCGTCAATATTGACTGGCTAAATAAGTTCTTATTCGATATTTTGCGTGTTTTAGTTAAATTAACACTCGTAATGCCTTATTTACATATGTTTTGTTAAGTTTTTGTTTCAATTGACAAGGTTCTAATACTGCACATATGTGCAAATAAAGTTCTTTTCATATTAAATTTATATTTTATCTAAAGTGATTTGTTACATGTCGTTTTACTAAGTAAGCATTAAATTTGATATTAGGCCCATGACAGCAATAACAAATCAAATATTTGTTGATTCCTATAAAGACCATAGAGTATTAGAGTATATTTATTAATAATTTCAGTGTAGAAATATGTAAAAAGTCATGTACGCTCATAGTTATTTCAAAGCATATACAATGAATTGTTCATTTGATAAAAAATTGCAAATACTGTTAGAGAAATTTCATTATAATTAAATATATTTTCTATTTTAATAATTTTTATTAATAGTTGATACACAAAGCCCAAAATATCACATCATATAAGACTTCTTATACTTTAAAATCAGGGTGGAATAAACACAACACTCTTACGACAACATGAGGTCTTTTTAATGTATTCTGCAATTTGTATGTGGCATTTAATTTTTTGATAGATTTTTATTTAACATAACTTTAACGAAGAAAACCAAATTTTTTAAAATATTTTTCTCCTTCGTCTTAGATTATAAGCAATCGATATTGTTTATAAATATGATATCTCTATTGTAAGAGTAAGGAAAAGATATTTATTATTATTTTAAATTTTATTTAAAAAAAAAATTTCAATTAATTTGCCATTACCCTAACATAAACTTTTTTGGGTAATACCACAAAAATTTTAAAATATTTATCTTAACTTATTCAATATACACATTAAGTCCTAGCGATACAGAATTACGACCAGCCAATGATATCCAAAAAAAAAATTAAAACAAAAAAAATGACTGAGCTGTGACCTTTGAAAAATTAAATTAAATCAGATTAACAATATATGTACATATCCTTAGAATGATAACATATACTATTAATTAAAAATTTACATAAATCTGAACAATACTAAGATAATTTAAACTTATCATATTCAATAATGCCTACGATTTATTAACAAAAAGAGGATTTTATAGTAAAATATGTAAGTATAATAAAATTATATTTAACTTCATTATTTATCATAGATAAGTGAAATTCCAATTGGTCAAAACTATTTTCACTAACTAAATTTTAAGCCTTTAAATAATTTTTTTAAAAATTAAGAATATAGAACTTTTAGTATATCATTTATAACAAACAAAACCGCAAAAGGTTAATTTTTTAGGATGGATCTGAGCCAAATCTCTTGTGAGGCGGGCTGCCACAACTGTTCAATTTATCAAAATAATTAACATCAGATAAAGGAGTTACATATTTTTCTTAATTCCAACTATTTCTATTGAAATTTTATTTCTCTATTTTATTTATGAATAAAACTATCAAAACTAATTTTGTGTCGTTAAAGAAACAATCTTAATCGTTTACAAACCCTTTACAAATAAAAAGGAAACAGTTATTTTTTTCATTTCTCTGTTAAATCAATCAATTCTCAATGGAGTCATTGATTGAATATATTAATTTAATAGTTTTCTTACAATATCTGCATTGACATTTTTCCAAATTTGAAACCCAGTAATCGTACGGTTTCATTGCTGTATTAATTTTAACAAAATTAAAACATAAATTTATATTAAATTGAATTTTAGCGTCCGTTTTGAAAAAAGAAATTAAATTCCTAATATAAACTATTGTTTTCAATAGAGAGTTTCAAACAGTACTGAATTGTACCAACAAAATTTATATCTATTTTAAATTACTTAAGTTTTTAGCTGACAATATCACTGTATCGATTATTGACAAATGCCCATCATCAGTGGTCTTGGAAATATTTCTTGTATTTAATCATTCGTAAACAATTTTTTTGAGACTGCAAGTACCAGGGATTGAACTCGTGTTTATTAAGTTCATTAACAAATTCACTTAAAAACATTATTTAAAATAAAAATGATATATGTATCAGTTATCTGAGCGAGAAAAAATCAAACATACTGCATGGAAACTCTTTTTACAAAGTATATTTCTTGTGCGTCAAGTTTCTTAAAACCCATTTTTAATATCGTTATTTGGAATAACATAATTCTGTTTTTGAGATACTTCTTTTCAATAAACAAAAATGAGAAATCGCTTAAAAAGTTTTCACTGTTGAAAACTTTTTTTTGCTAGATGGACATCTCGTTTATAGAAGGTGGGAAAATATAAAAATACTAAGTTTTCACTTTCACTAACTTTAAGTAGGTAACGAAAGTGGTATGTGTTGTTTAACATAACATTTCCAGAACTTTAAACGTAGGAATATTCTTCTTTTCATATTTACATATTAAATTCAATAACATAATTTTCAAAAAAATTTGAAGCTTTATTTAATTATCCACTAAAGTATGGTTTTTATTTACAGAGCGATCATAATCTAGGATCGGTCTCTAAAAAACATCGGATAATGTGATAGTAGATGGCAGCACTACCCTCTTTCACTTTTTATACTATTATAAATCGAAATATATTATGTACAAAAATTTGCGGCAAATACTACTATAAACGATGGCATAAAAAATAATTTTCTTTGTATACAAAAAAAAATTAAAAAATTTTTTTGATTTGGGGTAAAACTTCACTTTACTACACAATGAGCATTTTTCAAACACTTCGTTTAAATTTTTTATAAAAATAAAAAAGACGTAACATATCAGATCTTAAATCGATCACGACTAAAAGAAATTGGGAATTTCTAAATAATTTTGTCTCATTCAATAGTTATTGAAAAGATACTGACACCTGTGAATTCTGGAAAAAGCATCTAATGCATTATCCATAAGAGAGAATCTTCTCTATTCGTTTTCTTAGATTGTTAGAAAATAAATTTAATAATTTTATTTAACTTTTGCCATATAAAGCATTGAATTTTACGAAAAGATATTGTGATGTTTATCGACAGATTTAACCTTTACTTGAACTAAATAAAAACTATTCTGAACAGGAATATTATAATAATAGTAATTCAAATATTTATTAAACAGTATTCTTTAAAAAAATTTTATATTCTTAAAACTGAACTCTTTTAATACATAATATCATCACTTATTATTCTCTACGAAATCACATAATCAATTCCAGATTATGGCTTTCTTATCAGAATTAAGAATTAAGAATTTGCCAAGAATTTGCAATCAAAAATATGTAAATATGTGTATCTCTGTGATAGCTTGTACTTAATGTTATGTTTCTGAGGTCGGGTTACATCCACTCTTACAACGTTTTCTAATTATTATAGTCTTTGTGAATGATATATATATATATATAAATATATATATATATAATGATATGTCATTTGTCAGTTGTTGCAATTATTTATTATTAAATTCTTACTTTTACATTTCCACAGCTATTCCTTTACTTGACTAAATTATAGCGCCAAAGGTTTCGATCAACCTTCTCATCGTTTGCAAACCCGTAATTTATAACTTCTCATTATAAACTAACATTTGGGGATAAAACTAAATGAAATATGCTTTATTTCTAGCTTTAATTTTTTTTCAATTTTGACAAAGCAATTATTTTTATTCAATTTAAAATAACATTCTACAAAATACTTATTGAATATTTATTATTGTTACAATGTGTTTTCCCAGTGACTCTAGAGTCAACACGGGAAATCGAAATAATTAAATAAAAATCATTTTTACTCTCGGAGGATTAATGCCATAAACTAATTGGTAAATAATCTCTCCTAATCAAAATAAATATTATGTAGACAACACTTGAGCATTACAAAGGCGAAGGTATGACAAACGAAGTTAGAGTGTCTGCGACAGAAGGTGCTTGAAAGTGATTAATGATATTGCGACGATCATCAATCAAATGAGTTTGTATGGAACTGGAAAGTGATTATGCACATTTCCAAGTCAGTGAAAGTAATGTGATATGTAGTGCATGTATATGTGAAAACTGCGGCCGAGTTAAAATTATATTCTGCAGATCAAAGCAAAAGTGACAAAAATGCGTTGCGGAGATACTCGTACTTGGCCATGAAGGAATATAATTTTTACTTGTAATAAAAGTAAAGAAATAAACCTAAAAACAAATTAAAATTTTTGTATTGTTATTGTAAATATGAAACAAAATTATAATTATTAAAATTTCATATTTACTACCCCTTCTTAATGCGCCGATCCACTCTGACCGTTATGATTTTGTAATTAATTGTGCGGGTTGTTGCATTCTGGGCTGATTGCGTTTTATTGTTATTACAGGCGAAAATCGTAAATTGCTACCCTTTCACTTCAAAATCGAGAATGAAATTACACTTTATTATTTTATGCTGCTACGTTCCAGTAATAGCAACAGAACTGTTTGTAAAATGAAGTTAGTTAATTTTTGGTTGATTTACGTATGTCGTATCGAGATACAAGTACAATTACAACTTAACAGATACTCGAAAGCATATGAATGAACAAGTGGGTACTTGCTAGTTTCCTTCAACACAGAGTTATAAAAATATTCGTGTAAAGTATATGTGCGAGGGTAGAAATTAAAGTTTTTACATGTGATAATATCTATGTTAGTAATACTTTAAATTAGTTATAATGTTGGCAAGAGTGGAAAAAATTTGAACTGAATTAAAACTGATATATATGAAAAAAAAATATTTGTAAAAATTATATT